CAATAGACAAGTAGAAAGCACAAAAACTATTGAGGACATACAAAAAACTGTGATCCAGAAAATATGTAGAAAGCCGATACACTGATGTACATGTTCATTATGTGCATGTCAAAAAGAAAGGAAAGACGTAAAATTTTAAGCAACAATGACAAGAAATTTGTTCCTATATTTGCTTCCATTTGTACAAGTTCATACCTTCTTTGACCTGATTCTAGTCATGCCTCTTTCGAGCCTATTCTCCAGCTGCTTTAGCTCCTTCACCGACAGATTACTCACGGCTTCTCCCATTAAGTGCCTACAAGAAAAAAGGGAAAGCATGAGCAGCACCATACTGTGACGAAGAGTGCGTAAATGATGAAAGGACCATTTAATCCGTGTGTGGGTTCAAAAATCTTGGTAAAGTCATTTGGTACATTTTCTAAATGCCATGGATATCATTACACCTAAAATGGGACGGATTATGGAAAGGGAATAGCCGGACAAATTCATTTAAGCTATAAACTTTGAATCATAATTCACAGTTCAGTTAACATTGTTCAAATTCACATAAAAGATTTTCCTCACGTTGGCAAATGACACATCCCGGCAAATATTAATCAATTAGTTCAAGTCAAGAGAATAGAATTATAAGATGGTTTGCTATGAGTTTAGTCCTTCACATAAATTTTTATAAAAGCTCCATGTCAACAATCATTTATGCTTGCGCTTGACTATATCTATTTTTTGCATATCAGACTCCTTTTTCAAAAAATATCTCGACATATCACCAAGAGCCAATCCATCCCATATCTTCACATAGAAGCCAGTGATATAGAAGTTTCATAAAAAGTTTCATATATGGAAAGGAAGATTATCAAGCATGGTTAAATGTCTTTACTCATTAAAAGTGTTTTTACTTCCCCGCCTATATATTTAATTCCTTGTTTATATATTTTATGTTTGTATTCAAGATGCCAAAAAGGATAGGCAAGCTTCTTTCATCCATCCAAAGATGTTTCTTATGGTACGGATATATCAAGCAAAAATCTTTTTGTAAGATCCAATGAGGACTAGTGATAAGTGATAAGAAACAAGGAGGCCTTACTGAAGGCTCCTTTATATCAAAAAACAGAGCCTGCTGTTAAAATGGATTTGGAGACTCTCTTTTCTAAGTACAAATTTATGGAAAATAATTATCTCTTTAATATACAATCCAGCTTATGAGAATGAGATCCTGATTTTCTACAACCAACCCTCCAAGATCTAGAAGGATATTATATTCATTGTTCAAATCGACATTTACCATGTCTTCATAAATCATTGCAAATTCATGGTGGGGAATGACAGTTTAACATCAAGTTGGCTAGACAACTAGATTGGTAACTACCCTCCCAAAACAGCCTTTCCTAGGCTATATCTTTTGTTTACCTCTAAATCTACTTTGGTGGTTGACATGGGTAGATGGAGCAATTAAATCTCGTTCTAGTCCCTACAATGGCGGAGACCTTTATTTCATTTTGAATAAGAATGACTATCACTTTTATCATCCTTGTTGAATTCTAACCTTTTGTTCTGCAGCAAAATGGATAAGAAAATCTAGACTCTCAACAACGATGACTTCTTCAGTGTAAAATCTTGCTACAAAATGATAGACCAACTACTTTACGATGGTGCTAAACCATTCTAATCTTCTGTTTAAATAAAACTAACCCCACCAAAAGTGCAACTTTTCCTCTAGCTCCTTGTCCAAGACAAAGTAACCACAAGAGATTTTTCATTTTAGCATGACTACCTCACCCTTTAAAAATCAAGATGCGCTTTCTTTAATAAAAGCTTGAAATCTTCAAATCACATTTTCATTCATTACCATTTCACTTGGAATATATGGATGAAATTGCTTTTTAATCGGGGCTTTTGCAGTGTTTTTCAAAATCTGTTGATGACATATGCTATCAATGGTCTTCCATGGTTAAAGGCAAGCAACAAAATCTTTCATGGTAGCTTCTTTTCTCATGTGTTGTATAAAATTTTTGGTTCTGCCAGAATGATGTTTTTTTTAATACTACCCCTAACCTCCAAATTTGTTTCTCCATTGTACGCCGAAGTGTTGCTTTTATGAATGAGTCTTGATTCTAGCTCTTTAGAATTTAATATAGAGGATGTTCAGTAGGAAAGAGTTGATTTCTTATGTTTTTTTCGTTCTCTCTAATTGTTGCGCTTCCCTGTTTCATGCAGCATCTTTTATGCTTATCTTTTCTCTGTTTATTTTCCTTTGCTTATTCATCTAATGTAAGTTAGGCTATTATCTTTGTAGCCATTTTCTTAATAAAACTTTCGATTGTTACCAAAAAAAATATTGTGCAAATTCATTTAAAATAAACTTTGGTGCTCATAAGAGATAGGTTTACAAAATTGTTTTTGTATCTAAAAGGTAGGTTTCAAGGTAATGATTTAATCTTTTTTTCTTGTAAAAAAAATTAAAACCGTAACTCATATTTTACTTTACGGTGAAATGATTTGGAAGTTGTGGTCTCAAGTGATATATTGGTTAGGATAATAGTTGATCTTGCCTTAATGTTTTGATAACTTTTTCTTATTATGGAACCTATGCAAAAAAAAAAAAGGTGTGGTGGTTGTTCTTCTTTGGTCTATTTGGAATCAATGACTACAATAATCTAATTTTTAATAAGAAATAAACAGACTGGGTTGGTGTGTATTATTCTCTTTTTCATCGAGTTTCTATTTAAATAAAATATAATGACGAGAGTTTTTGTTTTATCGAATCAAATTTACTTTGTTCAACAAATGATTTTTTTATATGAATTAAGAGGACAAAATCATATAACCATGTAATTCTGAAGGAAGTTTTTAAGTTAAGTCCTGTAGCACCCTAATTGATAGTACCTCTTTTGCTTATGATTGAGTTTTTAAAGCCAATGTCTAGATTAAAAGGGGCCCCTCTGAAAGTTCAGATATTTTTATGATTGATAGTTTAGGATAAAGTTAGTACAAGAGTTTTTCTCCATCACCAGAATTTTTTGCTCGCCAAAAAATCTTTATATGTCTTTTGCAACTTAGATTTGAAAACTTTATAGCACCTTTTTATACACTATAAGTTTTTTAGAAGTGTTTGGATGAAAATTTTAGATTGGTAAAGTATTCAATATTATTTGCTAAGCACTCTAGACTCGTTGCTTTTGCAATGGCTTGGAATGGTGCCAGGTATATTTTAAAGATTAGCTTAGAGACTAATCTTCAATAGTACTACTTGGAGTATTTGGTTATTGAGGAACAAAATTGTTTTTAAGGAGGGAACTATAAGTTTGTTTGATTGTTTCTCAACAATCCTTCATCGGATTACTATTTGGTTGCATATTTTGGATTCAAACTTCACTTATATAGGAAATGACCTCTTAAAATCTTTCGATGACATCATATTATGGTGTAGAAAGAAATCTTAGGTGATCTCTTTGTTTTTTGTTGTAGCAAATCAGTTTTGTTTTTTTTTTCTTTTTTTCGTAAGTCTGTTCCTTTTTTTTTGTTCTTTTTATCTTGTCCAAGTATTTTGCTTTGGCTATTGGTTTAATAGCCTTTTCAATATACCCTTGATGATTATCCAAAAAAATAAAAAAGAACAAGTATGAGAAATGATTCTCCTTGACTACCTCCTATGCATGCTGAAGTGGAGTGGTGATGCGTCTCCAAATAATAAACCAAGACCTTAAGGAATTAGTGGTGTTCTCAAAGATCATAAAAGAAAATTCCTTTGTATTTTTTCTTGTTCAACAAGTAATATGAAATTTAATGAAGCTATGTTCTTTGCTATTCAATAAGCTATGCTTTTAAGTATTGACTGTTGCTATGCTTCTACAAATTGATGAGTTGTTGAAGCAAATTTTTACAATGCCATTACTTAGATTAAAAGAGAAAATGTTACATGGCCTTGCACTTGCAAACTGAATTCAATGATATTTTTAATACATGCAATAAGCTCTTTTTTGTATGTTTTGGTCATGTTCATAGAAAGAAAAATTATATTGCAAAGTATTTGAACTTTTTTTTAATCAAGAGTCTTTTATGCTTGATTTTGATTATTGATTTAGTTTTGTTAGCACATTTTCTAACTCTTCTAAGGGTCTATTTGAGAGTGTGATTATAATTGTTTTTTAAAATACTTTTCATGTTGAAGTACATCAAAATAATATTTTTTTTTATTTTTAAAATATTATTTTTGAGATCAACGTATCAAAACAATTAAAAACATATAAAAAATTAATTTTTAGTAAAAAAATTTAAATTTTTTGAAAATTTGGGTTGACGTGCATTTCCAAATGAACTCTAAGGTTTGTTTGTACTTTTCTAATTAATCCACTTAATAGTTACAGAAATTGATTAATAAATCTCTCGTGTGTGTGTGTCTATATATATATATATATCAATTAATTTGTTAAGAAAACGTCAAGAATAAACAATTGTCCCCTAGTTTGATAGTTGTCTGTTTTATTGGTTAAGACCATAAAAAGTTTACCTTTAATTTTTTATTGCAAAAACTGAATCAATTAATAATGTAAATTTGTACTGTGCAGATTGTACCTGTTAGAATTCTGTAGCAACTGAATTTGTTGACGCAGCTTTGCTGATTCTTGTTGATAATACTATATTTCATCCATTTAATACAGGAAAAGTAAGTCAGAGGAAATGAATTGAGCAAAGATTCAAGGACTTGGAAAGATTGATAAATATTAGAATAGAGGAGGAACAAAAAGCATACCTGGGCATTGATTTCTGTGATGGAGGCAGTATTTGAACGATCTGAACTGACCTTCTTGGACCTATCTATAGTTGATCTTATGCTGCTACCAAAAACGAAGAAGTTTCTAAGTTCAAACCACAAAAGAACAGGCCTGAGATGCATGGTTAATTTTTACATCCTCACCACTGTTTCAAATTCTTCGAAGCATCATTAGGGTTTCAAACTGATCATCATGAATGTTTCAAATTCTTCGAAGCGTCATTAGGGTTTCAAACTGATCATCATGAACATATTGATTTGTTTTCACCATGTTAATTCACGTGCATGAAAAACACAACTTGACCTATTGTTAATTTAAAATTGAAAATCAAATCACATGAAAAATAATAATGAAAAGCAGTGCATATATGGAAAGGTTTCTTTACAGGATTTCCTAGTCAACCGACCCAAACCTAGTATATCATTCTACGTGAAGAAGATATAGAGAAGGATCACACAGAAGTGAAACAACAGCTAATGGTATTGTCAACTTTCCAAGACAGCTCAATTCATATGCACAGAGAAACAATATTATTCCATTCCTGTAGTTTCTTGCACCTGACGTGCCAGTTAACTATTGCAAAACCTTGCCTTTGACTTCTTACTCTCTATCACTAAGATGAAGAGACCCTAGCAAAAGCAGTGTTTTTACCTTTCTGCTTCATTTATTACACCCCAACATAAGAAAGGAAAAACAGAAGATAAGCAAGGAGAATACTGAAAATAAAACATGGGAAACAAGCAAAAGATGTGGAAAGTTTCAAAGCTGAAAATAGAAACAGGAAGACCAAAAAGAGATGGGATCTGCAATCAATGGGAGAGGAAAACGATCATAGATTTGCTTCAATACTGTGCTGTGAAAAGTAAAGACTGTAATCAATTACACCACTGAAGGAAGAGAAAGGAGTTAGCCGTACGTAAACTGGACGCCAAACCAGTACTGCATTAGTTGGCATCTTTTTCTTAGTTACATGTCCAGTTGCGAGTTTAAAGTAAGAATTTATTTTAGATAGATAGTTCTGTAGCAAGTGAAAGAAGAGTTTAGATGAAGAATGATTTCTCTCTTGTGGTCATTGGAGGGAGGGTTTTAAGCAGCTTGAGAGCCCGTAGACTGTAATCAATTACACCACGACTTGTTTTTTGATTTAAGTATTAAGACTTTAGAGGAGTGATCAATGAAGACGCTAAAAGAGATTGAACACAAAGGTTATCATGGGACTGATCAAATTCAGTTCAGGTTTCTTTGTAGGAAAGACAATGGCAAATGTATCTCCCCACGTGCCTTTTCACAAGGACCTAGCTAAAAGTGCTCTACTTTCTACTTCGTCCATGGTTCTTTTTTTCTTTTTTTTGTTGGTAGAGCATATTCAACCCCCATAATTGAATCTAAGTGAAGAAAGATAGAATGGATCATTAAAGAAACTTTTAAAATATGTCTAGGTTAGTCTTCACTTTGAGCTTTCATTTTTGTTTGTCCTCACTGACTTGTTATAAAACCTCTCGTATAGAATGAACAAGAGTCCTGTCAAAAGATAAAAGTCGAAGCTGCTGTCAGTGAAAGCTCAAAGTGGAAACAGAAGGTAATGAAAAACTGAGAACCCATACTAGCAATGGAATGGGAAAGGATCAGGCTTAATCATTCAAAGTTCTGTGTCTGTACTACTATACATTAATTATGGAACCTCTAACAGGGCAGCACCAAAAGGAGAAAAGAGAATCAAGACAATAGAGAGGGCTTGCCTTACAATCCAAGATCTAGATGCATGGGAAGAAGAGTTCTGTTAAGAGATTAGAAAGACGAATATGTTCCTTTCTTCTCATTCCTGGCAAGCCTCATCATGCAGCTGATACTATGCTTTATTATTATTATTGTACTGTATTATGTGTTGTTGTTGATAAATTTGTTATTAACTTTTCTTCAACAAGGTAGCAAATGTTTTAAATGACGTACTAAACATAGTTTTTTCTGTTAAATTACTCTTATAAATTACTAGTTAGCATCTAGTCAATTTATAATTCTCAATAATATAACTATACTAATTGTTCATGGAAGCCCTCATTAAACTTCGAAACCTTAAGACCCTTATTGATCATTTAAATAAGCTGGGTGGATTGAAAAAACATGGCAGATGACTAATAAAAGAGAATACCTGTCATGGACTCAGTCAACTAGCATACTTACATTTGCATAATTTCCAAGATGGAAAGCCTCTATAATGCATCTATATATGCAAATCACTATCCTTAGAACATAATGGTCATTATAAATAGTAAAATAGCAGAGGGCAAACCTAAATTTAGGAAGCACCTTTCGTTTGAAAATCATGATTACAGTTTACAAATAGCCAAAATGTTTATTATCACTATATCCCATTTGATAAATTTGAAGGAACATGAGGCGGAGAAAATCATGAAACGAAAGCATGCGCTTAGATAAATCACCAAATTAAATGGAGTAGAAAGAAAGTGATGATGCCACTATTCTACATCTAAGTAACGACGGCCTTAGTTGCTTATATAGCATGAGATTCTTCCTTCCTCAGTATATGTTTTTTAAAGGATAAAATATACTATGTGGTTGAATCCATATTAGCTGAGATAATATCTCTTGGAGGTCTACCGTATTTGACTATGGACATAAATCGTCGATCATGAAGTAATCTATTATTTTTAGATATTTATTTTATATGGTAAATTCTTATTTGATATAATATATAAAAGGTATGGCTTTAATTATACTCTCATTTCTATTAAAAAAAGAAGGGCTTTATACTCCCATTCCTCTGCTAAACTTTCTGTAAACTCGAGATAATATCAGCATAAAGAAGAAAAGAACATATGAGTTCCAGCCAACTAAGATCTAAGTCAAATGTTCTGATCTGACAAACAACTCCTTGAAAAGCCAAAACTCACGGACTGTTTGCATGATTTGGGATCTACCCTCCTAATATTTCACCCTTCATTGTCTTTCTTCTTCTATAAAAGAAGTAAATGTACGTATATTATTACAAAAGAAACAAGACCTAATGATTTGTGAAAAAAGAAATTAAATCTGAGGATCGGAAAAAGAAAAGAAAAGAGAACAAACCCTATGATATGAAGATTTAGGGAAGGTAAAGTTACTTGTTGTTGGCGTACTCATAGAGACGGCCACGGCTAGAGAAGACGATGAGGGAAACTTCAGCATCACAAAGGACTGATAATTCATAGGCTTTCTTCAACAGCCCATTTCTTCTCTTGCAGAAAGTAACCTGACGATTCGTAGTGTTCTCGATCCTCTTGATCTCAATCTTTCCTCTTCCCATGTCTACACAAAAGATCAATTCTTTCACAACCCAAAGAAGCTTCTATATTATATATGCTCTTATCAAGCAATTTTCTTAACCTAATAGCTAACTTATCTGACTTTTACATTTCATGTCTACCAAAAAAAGCATGGAATAGCTAGGCAATTGCAACAGTTTGAAATAAAAACAAAAGAGAGTGTATTATTCCAGTTTAAGGAAGTGCAAAGCTGTTTCCAAGAATTTCACTTGCATTTTTCCTACGCTAAATATAGTCAAAGAATTTTTTTTTTGGACGAATTAAATCAACGAGTTCACACTA